AGTGCTGGCCTGGGAGCTGCCCTTGGCAGCCTCCGGCACAGTGCTGGCCAATGGACTCTTCTTCTCAGGTGGCAACACACTTTCAGGTTTGGTTTCCATGGTTGGATTTGAATAATTCATTTTTGACTCTGTTCCAGATGAAGGAGTTGCTGAAGTTCGATTGATATTTGTAGTGGTTTTATGATTAGCTCCTTTTGTTTCTGGCTGGCCTGGGAGCTGCCCTTGGCAGCCTCCGGCACAGTGCTGGCCAATGGACTCTTCTTCTCAGGTGGCAACACACTTTCAGGTTTGGTTTCCATGGTTGGATTTGAATAATTCATTTTTGACTCTGTTCCAGATGAAGGAGTTGCTGAAGTTCGATTGATATTTGTAGTGGTTTTATGATTAGCTCCTTTTGTTTCTGTTCCTGCCCCTGACATTGTGCTCTTTTCTTGGTTCAAGCTAGAGGATGGCAGTAAACACTCTAAATCTTTCCCTGAATCTTTTTCCTGCTTCTTCAGCAACATGCTCTCCGTCTCCTTGGAAACTTCTGTCTTTGTCAACTTAGCATCATTTCCAGCATCCTTAGAATCTCTGCTTTTGTCAACAGCTCGTTTCTTGCAAGGTTCCTCTACCCCTTCTAAAAAACACAAATAGAGTTACGTCCTTAGTTCCATAACTATGAAGTGTAAGTGCTCTGTCTATTGGCAATTGTCTACTGGGTGCTTTGCGGCAGTTTCCCTTGCCCCCTCTATGAGAGGCAGCAGTACTGGGGAGGGGGAGGTGGGGCAGGTGGCACTGTGGAGATGGTGCTGGGGGGAACCGACTTTTAAACTAGCTCCCCCCAGCACCAGCTTCCCACCCCCTGCTGCCTCTAATACAGAGGCAGCAAGGGGCGGGGGGAATGCAAGTAGTTGATCCAACTAACTGATAAACCTAGGCTTATCAGTTACTCAACTATTCCCTTACATCCCTAGTTTAAATCAGTGGTTCTCAACTAAGATCTTCCAGAGGATATATCATCTTGTCTACAACAGTCTAACTTTTTTGTACTTATGTCTGATTTCATAAACAAGTAGCTTTAAATTGAAGTTTGGGCTATTCAAGACAAATCAGAATCTTGAAAGAGATACAATAGTTTGGAAACAATGAGAACCATTAAACACTCACAAAATCAAGAGTTTGAAATCTGGTTCCAAACATTATCTTGAAATTCCAGGACATTTCAGTCTCAGAAATATATTCTAAATCTGGGTGCTATGATACAAACAGATCCAGGGTTCAAATTCAAGGTTTTGGCTTGGACATTGCTCTCTTTTGCTTATTATTACTACAGAGCTCATCAAAGCACTGATTTCTTTTGGAAATTGTTTTAACACTAGACCTTGTAGTGGGTATGAGTACAAAAGTTGATATGCTTCATATATGGTTGTCATTTCTACTAGAAAACTCTACTACAAGCACAATACTATTGGAGGAAGGTCAGAGGACAAATGCCTGCAACACCTTAAGAAACCTGTTTAACCAACACTTTTAACTCACTAATTCAGAAGCATCTGATGCAACCAAACAGCATTGCTATAACTATCATGGTTACAGTTGGGACAAATGAGAATTTGTGCTGCCATAAAACCAACATTGTGGAAGCTTTTAAATCCTGGTTAGTTCAGCAACTACTTTATTAACAAAGTCGGGAATCGGCAAACTCTCATCATTTGAAAATCGTTTTCTAGACTCCTAGGTATTGTCACAGCTATGATCTGCTAACCATTGCTACTTGATATGCCTCTTTTCTTCACCTTGGCAACCAGTTCATCTCTCGTCGTGTGGGCGGGCGCATGGGTCACTTTGATGCCTTCAGCCATTTCCAGCACCTTTTCCATCACTGACAGCGGGTACCTGGGCAAGGGAAACAACGGGAGCGAGCTCAGCGCCTCTCCAAGCCCGCTAACGGAGCGATGGGCCGCCCCGCCCCCTGCCAGTGCGGCTCTGCCGCCCCCAGCCCACTCACCGGCAGCCAAGGAAGACGTGGTTGGCCCACACCATGGAGAGGGAGACAAGGCGCTGCAGGGCCCCGCTGTCCCCGGCCGGGGGGGCCCCGGGGGTGGGCAG